GAGGAGGAGGAGGAGGAGGAGGAGGAGGAGGAGGAGGAGGAGATTGGATTTATACCCCGCCCTTCACTTGGAGTCTCAGAGCGGCTTACAAACTCCTTTCCCTTCCCCTCCCCACAACAGACACCCTGTGAGGTGGGTGGGGCTGAGAGAACTCTGACACAAACTGCTCTTTCAGGAACAGCTGTGCCAGAGCTTTAATAACTTTAATATGTTGTATTTACTGTATTGCTTTGTATTGTTTTAGATGTGACAATCGGTATTAATTGTATACTGGTTTTAACCATTGTAAGCCGCCCTGAGCCGCCTTGGCGGGAGGGCGGGGTAAAAGTCTAACAAATAAATAAACAAACCCCATGTGAGCTAGAGGCATCAAACTTGTGGTGTACCTCCCTGGGATGCCACCCAACATACCCTACAAGGTATGTGCAGATTGGACTTGAGGGGTCTGAGTTACGGACTCCTAAACAAAGTGCCCCCAGGAAAGTGCTTTTTGGAGAGATGTCAGACGCTGGTTCAGGAGTGTATAGAATGAACTCTGTGTGAGCTAGAGGCATCAAACTCACAGTGTACCTCCCCGGGATACCACCCAAAGTTTCCTATAAGCAGCACTAGGGGGTGCACAACATTTTAGCTGGCAGCTCAGGGATCTTACCTGGCAGCACAGCCTACAAGTGAACTAAGTTATTTCCCCCCTTCCACTGGAAACAATAGAGCATGGGGGCACCTCCATCTGGGGCTCACAGAACTGGACCTACTGGTCCAATCTTTTTGAAACTTGAGGGGGGTTTTGTGGAGACGTACCAGCAGCTATGCTGCAAATTTGGTGCCTCTATCTCAAAGAAACAGCCCCCCCCCAGAGCTCCAGATATCCCCGGATCAATTCTGCATTACAGCCTATGGGCCCCATTGATTTTATTTATTTATTTATTTATTTATTTATTTATTTATTTATTTATTTATTTATTTATTTATTTATTTATAATTCGATTTATATCCCGCCCTCGTCTAAGGGCGGCTAACAATTGGGACAAAAGCCATAATTAAAACAATTAAAAACAAGATAAAAACATAACAATAATACAACAAAGTGCTGGTGCTCTGATGTTCCCAGTTCCAAGGTGGGTTCCGGTAGGGTGGATCCGGATTGATTATAATGATCCCCATAGGCTATAATTGACTCAGGAAAAAAATAAAAAAAAATTGCAAACCCTTATTATGCTTTTCAGTATGATTTGTAAGCTGCCTTGAGTCACAGGCGAAGTTTCCCCCCCCCCCCCAAAGTGCTGGTATGTTTTCTAAGGTTCACTGCAGGGCAATGGTCCAAGGCCAGGTCTACCAATATCATGGAAAGGGGTGGGCAGACCTATTGTCTGAAGGCCAGGTCTACCACTATAGTGGACTGGGGTGGGTAGACCTGTTCTCCAGACGACAGGTCTACCAATATAGTGGAAAGAGGTGGGTGAAATTTTACTTGATTCTGTTTTCCTCTTATAATGTTTAAATTGTTCTTAAAATATAGTTTAAATATAATTTAAAAGAATTTATTATGAAATTTGTACAAGGATATGGAAATAATCTAAAAACTAATTTACGTGATAGTCAACTAGCTTTTTTCACTTACAAGGTAGAATTTCTGCTCACAATACTGAGGAGCTTAGAGGGAACACTGCATCCAACATGCTCTACCAGTTATGAGTGGTTTGGAGGGTCCGAGTCACAGACCCCCAACAAGGTGGCCCCCAGAAAGTACTTTTCAAAGAGATGTCAGGTATGGCTTCAGGAGTGTATAGACCAGACCACCCTCCATCTAACTGCAGAGCCAGCCCACCCACCCCACCTGGGGGCAACCTGCACGCTTGCAGGTGGCTGCTTCTCCCCAGGCCCATCCTCCCTCCCTCTGCAGACTGTCAAAGTGATAATTGGGCAGGGCCAACCCTCCCGCCCAGCCTGGGGCCTAGGAACCACCCACACAGTTGCCCTGGGCAACTCCCTGGGCCCACCTTCCCACCATGGTCAAGGTGATCGCTGGGCAGGGCCAACCCCCCCCCCCCGGCGCTGCCTGGGACCTGGGAATCACCCGCATAATTGCGGGTGGCTGTGTCTCCCTGGGCCCACTCTTCCACCACTGGTAAGGCAATAACTGGGCAGGGCCAACCCTCCTGCTCTGCCCAGGGCCCGGGAGCCAGCCCCATAGTTGCGGCTGACTGTGTCTCCCTGGGCCCACCCTCCTACCACTGGCATGGTGAATGCAGGACATGGTCAATCCTCCCGCTCTGCCCAGGGCCTGGGAGCCACCCACATAGTTGTGGGTGTCTGTGTCCCCCCAGGCCCACCATCCCACCACTGGAACAACAACTGCAGGGCAGGGCCAACCCTCCTGCCCTGACTGCCTTGACAAGCACATGATCACCAAACCTCGGCTAGCAAGCTGTGCACTGGGCAAAGTTCAGTTTGGATTTTGGCTCCTCACACGGTTCACGCCCATTCCTACTACCCACTTCCCTCCCAAGCATTACTGCATAACTCAGCATTGGGGCTTCAGGAGCAGAGCTCCCTGTCAAGACCCGAACTGAGCTTAGTGTTCCGCAAAAAGGTGTTGCTGGAGGGTAGGTATGCAGCTTGCTTGTCACTCCTCAGCAGTGCTACAGGAAAGTTTCCTACCTGCCAATTACCTTGTAGACAAAAAAGAATCAAGTGGCACATCAACAGGCACATGTACACTCACTGCTCATTGTGTCTACTTTTTTGTGGTTTCCTACTCCCCTTCCTGGGTAAAGCAGAAAGTCCCATTTCCATCTCTCTCTTAATTGGTGCCCCACAGCGCTTTTGTAACAAACCACTAGCCTATTTGTCATCTGCTGGGTTTTGCCAAGTTTAATGTAGTCAATATATTTAAAGTCATCTCAATCAATGAAGAGGCAAGCAATAATGATTTAAACAATGTATGTAAATACATAAATGACATAAATATAGAAATGACAATTGCTATTAATGCCAGAATCTGCAGTCGATAGGTATTTTAATCCAGAATACCTTGTGCCTTTTATATAACTGTGGTGTTGGTTATCACACATACCTTCATCAGCGGAGATCTGTTATCATTATCACAGAGATTTAATCTACATTTGTTGTCTACCAAGAAAGTAACAACATGTGTACATCCATTGGCGCAGGCAAGATGCAAAGGTGTTCTGAAAGATATATAACTGTATTCAGTCAACAAATAATTCGGAATAATACCAGGTTTTCCTAAAACGTATATGCCAATTTTTCAGACAGGTAGAGGAACTAGAGATCAAATTGCCAACATTCACTGGGTTATGGAGAAAGCAAGAGAGTACCAGAAAAACATCTACTTCTTCAATGACTATGCTAAAGCTTTTGACTGTGTGGATCACAACAAACTATGGCAGGTCCTTAAAGAGATGGAAGTACCAAACCACCTCTCTTGTCTCTTGAGAAACCTGTATAAGGGTCAAGAAGAGACAGTCAGGATATGGAACAACTGATTGGTTTAGCATCGGAAAAGGAGTACAAGGATGTATATTGTCACCTTGCTTATTTAATTTATATGCAGAGTACATCATGCAAAATGCCGGCCTGGATGAATCACAAGCTGGAATTAAGATTGCTGGGGAAAAGATCAACAACCTCAGATATGCTGATGATACCACTCTAATGCAGAAAGTGAAGAGGACCTAAAGAGCCTCTTGCCGAAGGTCAAAGAGGAGAGCGCAAAAGTTGGCTTGAAACTCAACATCAAAAAAACTAAGATCATGGCATCCGGCCCTGTCATGATCTCTGTAAGACTGGGAGACAATGCCTAGTGAGGCCTAGGCCCAGGAGACCTGTGTGGGAGTGGAAAGCAGACACAGCCTACAATTCCCACAATGCTTGGCGCTGGTTGTAACCAATCAGTGTCCAGGGATTTATGAGGCGATTCTTACTTAAACTTAGAGTGCTGTGGAACTGCTTCTTTTCTGTCACAGAGTTAAGCTGAGAGGACAGTCTGGTCTGAGAGAAAGATTCCTTACTTGGGATCCCAAACTCTGACTTCCACAGACTCATCCACAAAAAAATCCAGGAATTTCCCAACCTAGAGCTGACAACCCCAGTCAAGACTGGTCCCAATGCTGTTCTTGTTCAGTCGCACAGTCGAGTCTGACTCTTCGTGACCCCATGAACCACATCACATCAGGCCCTCCAGTCCTCCATCGTCCTCCAGAGTTTGCTTAATTTTATGTTTTCCAGTACCATAATTCAAAAGCATCTGTTCTTCGTCACTGCTTCCATGACTTCCCCTTCTATTTATTAAGGAATGATGGGGCCAGATGCCATCATCTTAGTTTTTTTGATGTTGAATTTCAAGCCAACTTTTGCACTTTCCTCTTTCTCCCTCAATAAGAAGCTCTTTAGGTTCTCTTCACTTTCTGCCATTAAAGTGGTATCGTCTGCATATCTGAGGATGTTGCTATTTCTCCCGGCAATCTTAATTCCGGTTTGTGAGTCATCCAGGCTGGCATTTCACGTAATGCTTTCTAAGGCCCATTTGACTTTGCACTCCAGGATGTCTGGCTCAAGGTCAGTGATCACACCGTCGTGGTTATCAAGGACACTGAGGTCCTTCTTGTATAGTTCTTCTGTGTATTCTTGCCATGTCTTCCTAATCTCTTCTGCTTCTGTTAGGTCCCTACCATTTTTGTCTTTTATCATGGCCAGCTTTGCACAGAACATTCCCTTGATTTCTCCAATTTTCTTGAAGAGATCTCTAGTCCTTCCCATTCTATTGTTTTCCTCTATTACTCTACTACTCTATTACTGGCCCCAATGAGTGCCCCACAAAGGCCAAAGTAGGCCTGGAAAGGGCCTCCTCCCCCCTGCCTTTTTACTGACAGAACCAAGCTTGGTTTCCTAGCAACAGCCACTGAGGAGAAAGTGAGCTGCACAGCAGGAGAATGGTTTGATGACTGCTGGCCCACCTCAGTAGCCAGCCAGCCACCAAGGAGCTATGCAGTAGAAGTGTCTTCATCAGGAGAGACAGCCATTTTGGCAGTTTATTCTGACAGGGAAGTGGCCAAGCTTGCAGTGGGCAGGGGAGAGGAGCAGACCCAGCATCCAGCCAATGGGTGCGCCAGAAAGTGCTAATATGCTGGATTCCAGTTAAATTCAGTCCAGGAAGAAATCAAAATCAACTCCAAATGGATCCTATGTACCTTTACTTGGAAGTCCCTCCCAGTGAGTTTTGTGGGACTCCCTTGAATACCAACCTAGGTTCATTAGCCTTTATGTGAATGTAGAGATATCTTTCTTTTTCGCCTTTGGGAAGTAAGTAGTATTTGTGTTTCAATAAGGCCTAAAATTAAACAGTTCAAATATAAAACATTTCCACCTGGTCGCAAACCATAGTGCATAAAATCAAAACTATGGGAATTGACTTGGATTCTCTGTATAACTGCGGCGAAACAGCTATTTTGCAGGTGGTGTGGAGGAGGATTTGGGATATGGAAGCCCAAATAATTAATGCTGGCAGTTCTGGAGTCTGTTCTCCACGCTTCCTTGACCTCTCCCCCCACCCCAAGCCTCTATGGCTTTGTACATCTCTAATCTAACAATTCCACTTTATCGGCGGGTTT